CATATCGTTAATGAACAATTAGAAACATTTGCTTTAGACATTACATAAGTTTGAATTAAATGTTTATGTATTAAATTCTATGTGAGGTGTATGTCAGGTAATCAATTCATCTTAATCCCTCGCAACAGGTAAGCAATTCGCAATGGTTCGAAGAGCTCGTAACAATGTTCTACATGAATAATTCCATGTTATCTATTATATGTAATAGGGTTCACGACGCCCCCTACGATAACAACAAGAATATAATAATTCACCGAAATTGATAGGGTTGCCTTTAATGTATAATTCACGACAGTAACATAAACCAACCCTTGTTCGTTTAATATTGTTTATAAATATTTAACGTATTTTGCAGATGCAAAATACGTATTGAAAAAGCAGAGGTTTTGAACTACACTTCATTTATATGGTATCGTACACAAATTCAAAGGTACAAGTCGTTCAAAGGTTAAAAAGAAGAAGGGATCTCTTCTTCCTTTTGGCTATAAATTTGTCATTGTGCCATATAATTTTCTCTTAGTTTTGTAATATACAAATAAATTTTTGCACACAAATCCTGTCAGTTGGAAGTTAAATCAATAAATATTTAACTAAATTATAATTAAATTATAATTTAAATAAATAAATTATATTGTTTAACTTGCAAAACTTGCGTGTTCACGTGGCTATAGAGGCTTACTTTACATTAAGAATGGCCAATTTCATTTTCAAAAATTTTCGATTATAGAACTTTAATGACAATACTGCAGCAGCTAATATATTTATACAATAAGTGGAAAACAAGAATGGCGTTTACGCAATTAAGTCACAAGGAAAAAACTATGTCAATTTGTAAATTGCATAAAACATAGTCACTGTGTGCTTTTATCTGTGTAGCACTAGTTTATAATATATCACATTACTTCAAAATGTTGCGAGCCAAGAAATGTGACGTAATAATAGACAGGAAATTAAATTTTCTAATTTTACAGATTTGGAAATCAAATTTAAATTAATACATCTTTATGTACAGATCATATTTTTTATTAATAAAAGTCTTCAACCAAATTGATGCGCTATGTAGAGTTTTAAATTAGATTACCATAATAGTATAATATTTCTCTATGAATATTTGTCACCTAGAGGACAGGATCAAAATTTATGAAATGTTGTGTATATACTTCAAGTTATTTTTATTATTTAGGGATTTGGGCTATTGCTCAGTGCTTAGACCACTGAACTGTGACTTGTAGAGATCTATTGTGCTCGCCCTATTTTAGAGTTCTCTGCCTAGGCCTGTCAGGGAATAACATTGAAAAATATTCCTATCGGCTATATGTGTTTTTGTCAGGATGAAGTGTGTGCTTTGCAAAGGAGATATTTTGTCTATTCGTGAGTAGGGTACAACCACATAGAATGTGTATTAGTATTTTAACGTGATCCTAGGTGTTTTAAAATCATAATTATACCCGCCAGCTATTTTTTAAGACTACGTCTACCGAGAACACTTATTTAGTATAAAAATATATGATTTAACATTTTTAATAAAATCTCTGTACCTATAATATAATAAAAACATTTCACTGTAATTTAATAAACTTGAAGGATAATATCCACATTATGTACGTCATGTTATTATTCATTTTCTATCTGAGTGCAATAACATGCATGTAGCGCTAAGGGCGTAATATCAACGTACAAGTACTGAATTCTTTCATAATATTCTTATGTATTATATCAAGTAAATAATTTCAAAACTACACGAAAATAGCCATTTTAAAATAACCTCTCATTACTTCATATCAATAACCATATAATATTAAGTCTATTTTATATAACTGGAATATTTTCCCAGCCGATGGGCATTCTAATATTTATTGAGGGGTTGGGGCGATTACAATGTGTCATGACTTGTAGCACTGCGATCTGTAGAGATCCATTGTGCTCGCCCTTTTTTCAGAATTCGCTACCTAGGCTGGTCATGGACAAGGATATTTTTAGAAGCAATGGTTTTTATCTCCTCGACATAGAACTTTTGGTTACACAAAGGAGATATGTCGATTCGATTTTGACTTCTGATGGTAAATAATAACCACCATCTGTAGACTGTTAATTGTAATAGCGAATAGTGATCCCATTGCTGTTGATGACCAGGGCATGTTGATCTCCACACAAAATAATACTTTACATCTAATTCTATATTTTATAGTACATTATTTAATATTCATTCTTAACGGCATAAGTATATCCTCTACCGTAATGAAAATGTAGTCAAATTGTAGAGCACTTACATAGTATTGAAAGTATTTACCGCCGGACATTGAACAACATTGAAGTATAAATTGTGCACCGTCAAAGCACAACTACGGAAATTGATTTTCGTCGCAAATAGTATAGTTCACCGTATATTAAATTTTACGATCCACATTTAACTGTGCCACGGAAAATAATTTACAGTTTCCAGGAAATATCTTGTTGTCTATAGACTATAGAATTTAATACATTCGCATCATTTCGAATACATTCATGATTAAAATTGTTTAAAACTACAAATCTCGTAGCGCTAATTGAATAGTCCAACTGTTACTCGCTGTTAACACGTTGACGGACAGTAGGAACAAGCGAAGTTCGAAAATTGACACTATATGTTTTTGTGATTTTTAGAATGTTAGAAGTATAGTTTTACTCTTTCTGCTTAAATAAACTTATATATAATATATATTTATCATTTACATTATCATTATTTATTTATATTTCAAATGTAAAACCAAAAAAAAAAAAAGTAAACAGTATAACCTATAGTATCGTTAACCTAACCTAAAATGCTAAATTTTGTTTTTTTATTTCTGTTTAAAGTATAAAATGAATAATAAACAAATACATACCAGTATAGTTATATAAATAATAATAAATCGATCGCACTACTCCCTTCACAACCACGTGCATACTGAATCTGCAACTCGTATAACAGGTGAAATATGAACTTCAACCTAAAAAGATGTTTTCAAAACACGACACTATGCTTCTACGTATACGCCAGTAAGTGCACATTTGTGCTGCTATAGCCGTAGTGTCTAAAAACGACCGTTTCGTTTTGGACGGCTATAGCAGTCATGCCACATTGTGAACTTCGCTTTGACGGCTATAGCCGCAATTGTCCGTCAACGTATAGTTTTCTATAAGGCAAATAATTTTTAAAATAATTCATGTATAAATCAGTATGTATATATATGTATATGTATATTATAATAAATAATGAATGCATTATAAACGAAATTTAAAATTATTGAACGAACTAACTTGAATTAAGAACTGTGATTTTATCTCTTTCTTTCTACTTTTACTATATGACGTTTACTTATATATAAATATTACACAACGGATTTTGTAGCGATTTATTTTTAATAGATAGAGTGATTCAAGAGGTAGGTTTATACATATATAATACATACAGACCCGTGCGAAGTCGGGGCGAGTAGCTAGTATGTAATATAACAAATATGACTATTTGGATAGTATAAAATATATAGTATATTGCAAATTCAGAATATTTTCTTATTTATTATTATTCCACCCTGCTAATATTTGCGTACATTTCAAAAGACAACATAAGAAATTCAGGCGAGACGGCAAAAGTAACGGACCCACAAATAACGCTTTTTAGATGAGTTACACGAATTCCCTGGAATAAATTAATCAAGCGGTAGGGTAGCCCACGTAGCGTAAATTTACGAGTAACCTCAATCCCGCCCGCGCCGCCGCCTCATCTCACTACACAACTCATCAATTTTCTTAGAACCCAGGACATACTACTTGGAATTCTGTTAATTAAACTATGCCGCCAAATTAAACTGGCACAATTGAGGGTCATGTCTCTAAGTATGAGCATAACCAGCTTTGACCCTTGAAGTTAATTTAAAACTGTAAATTACAAAGGAATCACCACGTTTTGACGCAGTCACGTACGATTTACTGGGAAGCACGTTAAATTATCATATAAGGAAGTAACAACGAGGAACCAAGCCAAAAGCATGCAAACGCAAATTATTATGTCGGGCACGTGAAATGGAGATTATATTGAGATTCCTCATACAAAGAAGCTATATTTAGATTTTAATAGAAGAAAACGTTTAAATTTTGTTTATAAAATAAGAACATTTATGAACTTTGTGAAAGGTAGATAATTGCTTTCACGTTCTTACGGTATTTTATACAAGTTATTTTAATCTTCCTGTATACATATAAAAAAATAATTGAATAACGTCTACTATAGATCCTCTTATTTACTACCACATCTTAAGCCCAAAAAGTTTGAATCAATCCACTAAAAAGCATTGTTTGTTAATTTATATTACTGACCGAATAAATCCTGTTTGATAAAAATTACGTTATTAAAATTTATATAAAATTAACGTCACAATTTAATTATTAGTATATATCCGTAGAAGGAATTTCAGATAATTTGATAACACCCTAAATAGAACATTCTTTATTCAAACAAACGTAAAATTAGGCACTTTTTTAATCTACCGCTTATTCGAAAAGCTGCCTCATCACAAGAACGAGCAACTTTGCGTATTTCTCTTGTAAATAATTCTTGTAAGTTTATATTTTTGAGTTTAAATGTATACAAACTACCAACTAGCACTAATTTATTAGAATCAAAATATTAAATACACAATCAGCTGGTTAAGTGACTAAGATTAAATCAGTCGTAGCGAAAAGAGCAGACCAGTCCCTACAAGCAGATAGATGTGACATAAGTAGTAATAAATTCTTATTAATATTATAAAGGTGAATGTTTGTGAGTATTGATGGATGTTTGTTACTCTTTCAGGCAAAAACTATTGAACGGATTTTGGTGAATCTTTACAGTATTATAGCTTATACACAGAGAATAACATATAGGCTACAATTTCTAAATATATTATGTCTATTGCGCGAAATATAATGATAAATGTCAAGTAACTGTGATGCAGACGAAGTTTCGGGGATCAGCTAGTTAAGTAATAAAGACTAACCGATTAGACTGTGCCGGCTGGCGCCGAGGCTGGGCGCGGGCGGCGAGCCGGCCGCTCGCAGCGCGCCGAACGCGCCACCGCCGCCGCCGCCGCCCAGCGCGCCGCCTTCCAGCGCGCCTGCAACGTTAACGAGTCGTCAGCGTCATCTAAGCTACGCTATATTATACAAACAAGTACATTTGCCTAAATTAAAATCAATTAATTCTGATGTGAACAAAATTATAGACTATATCAACAAATTGGCAAAGTTATAGTGCTTTAGTCTATTTACAATAAAAAAGTATTTGGTTCATTTCTTCTTTAAATAAACATACATATTCAACATATCATAAGAAATATCCAACACGTTATGTGTACAGCAAATATAAAAGTAAATGAAAAGATACCAAAGTAAAAGTAACAATAGACATAAAAATGGATATGAAAATGGTTAAATATAAGGAGATTTCTACAAACATGTAAAAAATAAAAAGATATATCGACATGCTTAAATAGAAAATTACTTAATATATACCATACACATTTTACTAATATTAAAACGTTGAAAGTTTGTGGGTATGGATGGATGGATGTTATTTTTTCACACAAAACTACTGAACGGATTTTTATGAAACTCTACAATAATATACCTTATGTTATACATCTGAATAATACATAGGCTATAAATTTCACGTGGGTGAAACCGCGGGAACAACCCTTATATTTATAGTTATCTAGTGTTGCTTCGGGTATTTAGAAAACAGATGATCTAGTTGCAATTTCTTTATAATATTTATATTATTTAACGACTATCAAAAGATATCTATAATTAATTATACTCTCATTACGCATGAATATGGGCATTGTTATATAATTACACTATGATAAGAGAATAAATAAGAAATGGATTAACAGAGATAAAGAGAAAAAATATCTATACCTATACCTAAAAATAATACGATAAATTCGACAATAATTCAGCTTCTACACTATAGTTTAGTGACCAGCAAATGCTTATTAAAGACCTTATTTTAGATTTTACAAAATTATAAAAATAATGGACTGTTCTATTTTTATAAAATTCTTTGTTCAATTATAATTAACTAGAAGAAATGCATTGTTAACTTCCCAAGTTGTGACATTGTTTTAGAAGATGAAAGGTTTTAAACAATTCAACCCTAACATATCAACCCTTTCAATAAAATTCAACGGTGCGTAAAGTGACATTTCTTCACGCGGAAAAGCAAAGGAAAGTCCTTCAAATAAAATCATGAGAATATTTCGTCTCTATTTCTAGATGTCACCAAGCTAAAACAAAATATAATATCACAGATACCCATGTAGTTTAATCCCAAAAAACAATAATTTTATAACTTTTATACTATTAAACTTATACTAATTGATTGCATTAACCATAAATTAATTACTATATTACTATTAATTAGTATAAATTAATAAATTTCGATAGTATAAGTTCATACATAGCTACCCGTTTCGGTTTCATACGAGTGTGTATTATTACATATATAAACCTTCCTCTTGAATCACTCTATATATTGCTAAAAACTTCAATAAAATATGATGCCTAATTTAAAAGATCTTAGCGAACAGACAGCGTAAGTGACTTCGTATTTTACTATGTAAAGGTGCAATATCATCTTTATAAAGCGCAAGGAGCACCAAGGAGGTCAAATTGCGATAAAATAGGACATGAAATTGATAGGTCCTTTCGTTTCCAATAAAGCGAGTGATAAGGGCTTTAGATATAGCCAGTCAGCTGAAATTTTCAGGAACTAGACTCTAGGGACGTGTCGCGTTAGTTTATACCTCTCTAATGTGGCCATCCCGAGTATACTTATTACGTTTTTCTTACAAATTCAAATAGATTACGCTTGACACGAACATGTTTATCTAGCCAAACTATTGCAAACAGGAAATAATAATAAATTATCATGATAAACATGTATACTTTACTAAATGTTTAGTTCTTAGTTAGTTTGGTTTTGATCTTGGAGACATAATGTCAAATTAAAATTTAATGCAGATAAAAAGACTGCTAAAATTTCTTACCTTGCCTCTACTAAACGCTTTGTAATTGCGGCATGTATTTAATTTTGATTATATCCTAACAATATACTATATTGTCTTTGTATAGAGCAAATAATGAAACTTAATAAAATCTATATTATTGAGACAAAAAACATCAAATTTTCCTATTTCTGTACTAAATGTGGGAGTTAAAGAATTAGGAAAGTGTTTGTTATTTGTCACAATAAGCATAAATTAAGCTTGAATATAGTATTTCATTTTGTTTAATTCAACAAACAATATTGGTTATTCACATTGTCATGTGAACTCAGTGATCAAAAACTAGTAAACTAAATATAATAACCATGCCGTGTGTGCCGTACTATATAGATAAAAGATTAAACGACATCCAAATGGCTCATAACATGGTAGTCACGATGCCTCCATTCTATCTTTATTTACTTCAAAATAGATAGCCACTAAAACTTAAGGTGGTTTATGCGAACTCATTATTTTTATAAACAGAAACATTCCTGGTACGTCTTGTAGTAAATATGAAGGGAGCAATGGTGGCGACCAAAATTTCCCAGCTTATTTCCCCAAGTCCAGTCCTTCGCTTTTATGGACCATGTAAAGTAAATTTATTGCTGTTTTTTCCACATTTTCTATACACATCGTTTCAGCTGTGTGCTTGGTAATATTTTTATGAACATTGTTATACCCAGTTCGGCACCATATGTTGATATAATTTCGTTTTATGAATTCATTTCCGTGTTTACATGACCAAGTTACACAACCAATGAATGTATTCACATTGTTTAAGTGTCTGCATGGTTTTATACAAGTGTTTCACGCATTATTATAATCAACTGTTGTATGGATGGACAATTCACGACCTTTGGTGATGTTCGCGCGCTATTTTCATCCCTACACGATACAAATATTTCTGTATGTTTTTTATTAAATAACTGATTTAGCATCCACATTACAAGCTCGATGTAGATTACTTTTAGATGCCAGCCGTGACCAAGTGTGTTCATATATATATGTAATTATTTTTTTCAGTATTATTAATTTATCAAAGCTTAAAATAAAACAAAATATCAAAATAACTTTTCAAGTTCAATGAAAATTATTTTCATACATTATAAATAGAGTGAATAGTGCTGATAAAAATAAATATATAATACAGTTAGTTAGCTTATTCAATTATTTTCTGAAGCAATTCCATTCACCTGGCAGAATACCAGCAATGTTACAGTTGTGCTACAACAACTTAAGCTGAGTCAGGCTCCAATTGACCGTTACTAGGTACAGTTTAGTGTTAAGTATTTTGATTAACGTATTTTTTTATCGTGTACCTACTCTACAGAACACAAGCTTTCTTTTCCAATTTTCTCTATGACTTTAATAATAATTCATAAATCGGTATGTGATTAGTTCAAACGCATTAATATCTTTAATCGAATTAATTTATATCTCAAATCACTGCAGGTTCGGACAGTTCTGTCGATCATTTAACTAGACTGTTATTGTAGATTAATACTTACAGACATAGGTACACTATTATTGTTCACTCACTTATAATTATCGTAAAGCGAATTATTTTTACGATATTTGAGCTCCATGACTCCATAATGAAGGGCTCAATGGTAATGCAAAGTGAATGTAGTAGAAACATTCATTCATATTTACATATTCAATGTTTGTCGCTTTGAGCATAATTTATTAAAATTTTTGCGTAACATAAAACATAATATTCTTCAGTAGAGTGTATAGTACAGATAAGATAGTATTTATAGAGGTGTGATTGTACATATTTCTTTAATGAAAAAGGATACTAATACCACAGATAACATAATATTACATACAGATACCCCATCCCATACAAGAAAATGGTTCCTTCCTAACTCGGGCTATTCTTCGGGCTATTTTATTTCGCCACCGTAGCCGCTAGATGTCGCTAGATCTGAAGCAGTTCGGATTACTAGTGGGTGCTTAGTAACAAAGCATGAAAATAGATGGCATTCAATTCAGTCTACATGACATCTGTTTTGCAAAGATATGTATATAATAGATATGTAGGTAACTGTATCGTGTACCTCATTAGGGACGATTCAAGATTCAATGTAAATGTGTAGGTATAATATCGTTAGCCGACACTCTGCAGATATGGCTTATGTGCCAATGTATATACCTATTATGTTATGGTTTATTTTACATTCCATGCCTATTTTTTTGATATGTTGTAACGCGTCTGCACTATACGTATAGCCCGATTTTGATACGTTTATACTCGTACGTATCAAAATCGGGCTATACGATTTTTTATTTGAATCGTTATATGTATGAGACTGATTTTAGCTACAATTAATTTACTGGTATATACCTCATGTATTCTACGATGTACCCCTCTTTTACCTAATGAGAATTCCGCTATATCTTATATATAAATTTTGTATCACAGTGTTAGTTGCCATATTTCTCCCACATTTTGATGAAATTTGATATGTATACTTGCCAGCTAAATTTTCACCCGTCTTTCACCAACCCCTATTTTTAATAGCGATATTCTTACAAATATTATAAATGCTAAAGTAACTCAGTCTGTCTGTTTGTCTCGCTTTCACGCCAAAACTACTGAACTGATTTAATTGAAATTTGGTAGATAGATAATGTAGACCCTGAGAAAGGCTACTTTTTAATGCGAAAAAGTATTGAAAGGGGAAATGAAAGGCTATAGATAGATGAATTTATAGATGATATCAATATATAGCAAGAATAAGTTTATTTGCGGACAACGTTATAATTTTAATTTTCATACTGCTTTCTTGATATATGATAGCGTAGCGGCTTTTGTATTGATTGCCGCATGCATCCTTATGTAAAGTGCGAATACTGTAACTACCATATAGTAATTTTTGTAGCTGTGACGTGGTCGTGTGGAATGAGTAGTCATGCTCACTAAAATGTCCAGACATGTGGCGGCGTGGTGGGCCGGGTCAATGGGCTCCCTAAAATATGGTCGAGCGCAGTGATGGCTGGC